TTGGCATCTTCAGACCATGGAATAAATGAAAACAATTCCTAAAAACGAAAGCTAATTACTTTCCTTAAATATTACCACATGATTTCCTTACTGACCTTCTTTTTGAATATTAATCTTAAAAACTAACACAGCCTTTCTTGAATTAGTTAGTTCAGTTGAATTAAACCCATTTAAACTGACTGTTAATTTTTGATTAAATTTCTTGTTGGATTTTTGTTGGACGTTGAAGAGAACGGTGGAGGTCTCTTATTCGTTGAAAACCCCAAATTTTTCGAAAGTCTTTCTACAATTAAAATATTAAAGAGAGATTTTTTCCTTAATTAAATCTGTTCCTTAAAGATAGATTTTCAAAAAAGGTCCTTTAAAAGCTTTCGAACATTTGAGTACTTTTCGCTTAATTTTACGTAAAATACGGGCGAGAAAGTACGTGCTGTTTTAGCTCTAGTTTTTTTCACCTCAGTAACACGTAAAACAAATTTACATGAAGTGGTTTCGCGTTGCTTTGAAGGAGTGAGCCTCCGTCCAGGTGGTTAAGCCTTCCAATTTAGTGATAATGATAGCCGCGAGATATGCCCGACGATGTCGGTCCCCACCCTCAGCATTTATGATGTAACTCTTTGAATCAGATACAAAAATGTGGTCGACCCTCGACTCTTCAAGATCAAACTGACACTCGCCTGCACACGCGTTCACAGCCTTACGAAAGAAAGCAACTTGAATGGCGAAAGTTCTAATGTCAGGAGGCGAATGCGGATCTTTTTAAATCTTGACCAGAACAAACACTGCGGGCTCGTTGAATGCTGAACATGCGCAGGCCATTTATGGTAATATCAGAAATAACCTTCACTGCTCTGTTCCTCTATGCGGCCAGGCAAGCTCACATTCAATGTCGGAGCTGGACAATTTTGGGCCCGAGGCAATCCTGAAACGTGTACCCCTCCCCTCAAAATGTGAAAGTTGTCTTGTGTAATGAGTTATTTTAGTTCAACAAATAATAAAAATTACATTTAAGCAAGGAAAAGTTTTGGAAAATATATTTTCAATAATAGTTTTAAGTGAATGTATTTTGTGATCAAATAATACCATTTTCACTGTGAGTTGAAAACCTTAATAAATATTGTCTTTAGTTAGTGTTTAATAAAATTAACTAGAGAATACTAATTAACTAGAGCATTTGACTTATTTCATAGAGTTCGACATTAATGAGTATACGCATTTAAGGTAAAACATTAACTGCAAATTTTATAAAATATCAGACTACTGTATTGTGACTTATAAAATGACGATAACGATTTGGCTCCTTGACTTGCCGGTCCGCCGACGCCGAGCGCCGGCGCTGCTGTCTGTTGCGAAAGCTCTGGAACACGGTTCGCGGGAAAGGATTCGGTTGCATCCGAGTGCGCAAGCTTATCTCTGGGGACTTCGCAATGCCTCTTCTCACGAACCACAAACGCATTCTGACGTTCAGTTTACAAACCGCTGAGCAAAAGGGCGTTTTTTGAGGTCGTTCACGATCAGTTGCAATTTAACGAGACGAATGCAAACGCGTGAAGCACATACACTTCTTTTATAAGCTTGAAGTTGTCCCTCCTGAATTCACACGTATTAGGGCACTGTTGTTCTTGTCATAATACAAAACATTTTTGAAATAAATAAGTTGAAATATTTGTTCTTTCTCGTGTAAGTACGTATATACGAAGTAATACGTAATGCTGCTTAAGTTATGTATTGCTGGGGAAAATCGATTTCGACACTTCAACGGAAATACACGTTTTGCGGACCCCTGGTAACGACAAAGTGTTGTTCTTTTTTCAAAACGTCCTCCGCCTGTGCATCCGTCTGTGAACCACCTGAAGTATTTGTAGGACATTTTCCAAAATGAAAATTCCCCTTCGATCTAGCCTGACTCAAAACTCTGCGATTTGGAAAAACTTTTTTCCAATTTTGGGATATTTTTCACGAAACCCCAGGGACATTGTGAACATTTTGTCTCAAAAGGCTCCCAATTGTCACTTGAAATTTCTTGTAAGGATGGAATTAAATACACTTATGAAGATGACATACGTCCGATTTTAACTGTTAATTTCCAATTTCCGAATTGTTCATGGTCTTTTTAATGAGCTAATTTTGTTCAACAGACTTTGTGTTGACCGTCCAACAGACAAATATGTCAATCTACCATTTTGATTTTTTTAAACTTTTTTGCAATTTTCGAAAAACTGAGCAATATCCGAAAATGCAACTAGCGCCATATTTTTTACCGTTCTTTATTACAAAAGTGAAGAAAATTTAACAAAAAATTTAGAGTGGTTTTTGAAAAACAATTGCGATAATTTGAAGCTCAAATTTCGCAAAAATTACTCATTTTTTTGAACACTTGTACACGATCTCTTTTAAAGAGCTTATTTGGTATAACATGTATTGTTTAAGACAAATTTCTGTCTTCAATTTTCTAGTTTTAAAACGTTTAGCAATATTCGAAAAATCGGGGATGTCAACAAAAAGTACATCTAAATCATTCTATTAAACGTCCTTTGCACTATTCAAAGTTTTTAAGAAAATTTTAAAAATGTTTTTGAGGTTTCATATAAAATACTTCCCAAAAATTAAAAAAAAAACGTTTGCGACTCTCAAAGTCACGATTCATTGTAGAATATCAATTTTGACGAAAATCTGTTCAACGGGTTAGGTGCTAACATTGACCCCAGACGGTCAGACGGACAGATTGACAGACGGACAGATGGACATTTTGCCGTCAAACGATTTTTCGGTATCAAGAACAAACAAAAAATGGATCCTGGATACACTACGAGTTAGAGGATTTTTTTCTCTATATTTAGGAACTGGATTTATCCAATTTTTCGTTACCAGAAACCGGTATAAGATTTCTTTTGGCGAAACTTCGGCGTCTTGTGGCGCACGAATAACTTTCTCTTCTTCCGAAGAATTCGAAAGACGAGAAGTAAAAATATTAAAAAGAAGTTTTGCTCAAAAATTACTCCATATTTTACCTTTACATTTTTTGTTGCGATAATGCTAATTGTACTGTAACAGAAACGCCACTTCTCTGTATTATTTTTTAATACACAAATGTACTTTTTATATCTTTCTTTCATCGTTAATATTATCATTGCCGGAGATTTGTATACACTACTGTATTTGTGAAAATAAATGCTTCAGAATTTCTCAAAATCTCAGAAACACACAAAACGTCATTTTCAAGAAAACCGCTAAAAATATTTTTTGCAATTTTGTGTGAGGATTACGCTTAGTTCATTGTATAAGATGACATAAATGGCATTTTGTTGAATTATTTTGTTCCCTCAAAAAGTAAACAAATGTACGTTTTATGACATATCTCTTCCATCGTTAATATTTACATTAAGGGCATTTATGATGCATTATTCCATTCGTGAGTACAATTGCTTCGACAACAAAATTACGATTCCAGTGAAGAAGCTCGAATTAATATTTATTTTTACTTTCTTGTATACAAACTTATATATGGAGTCATATGGTATACGTAAAAGAGAGAAAGTTGTGTAATGCCGTTGAAAATCGATATCAAAAGATCAAAGCAAAACCATATTTGGGTCCCCTGATAACGAAACCGTGTCTTTTTCTAAAACGCCCGTCGTCAATCGGTGAGTACGTCCGTTGACTCGTCTGTCAGTCAGTCCGTGGGCCCGTGCGGTCCGTCCGTCTTTCTGCCCGTCTGCCTGTCCTGTGGCTCCGACCCCCGACATCTCTCTTCCCGTCTGTCGGTCTATCTGTCCGTCCGTTTGTCGCTCTGTCCGTTGTTCTGACAGTCTCTCCGTTTGTCTCTCATTCTGTCCCTCTTTTTCCTTAGATCTGTCCCTCTGCTGTTCCTGCACTGTCTGCCTCTCCCCCTAACGGTCCGTGTGTACATCTGTCTTATGAAATATAACTACGAGAGAATATGTATCATTCTGTAGCATTACTATTTAATTTCTCACATCCAATTACATACTATAGAGAAAGTATTGCAACCCTGCGGAAAAAAACGGCAATTTTTCGAAAGAAAATATTGCACTGTGGGGTTCTGATACAGAAGAAGCGGATTAATCTTTTTCCAATATGTAGTGTGGCGTCGTTAACACGAGGGCCAGAACCGTTAGGTCGGTGAAAGTGCGCTGCGGGGGAGGAAGGGGTTGAGCCTGAACTTCCGGGAGTTTGCGCTCTGGCGGTTGACTCAGGTAGAGCCGCAGAGCCAAAAATACCGTGGGCTGTAAACTCCGAGGATGCTAGCCAGCGAGCCTCGCTTACGGAAGCAGGCGAGCCAACCTGAGAATCCTGTGTGTGGGCGTAAACCAACATTCTTTACATGACGTCTCAAGGACATTTTCACACTCATATCTTACTGGATTAGGAGGCTCAGGGCAACACTTGAAATCACTGCAATACCTCTGACTAAGGAAGTAAGGTCTAAGGAAGACCCGATGGTGGCAGGATTTGAAACTAGGTACACGGCTAGCTTGAGTTCCGCCTCTGTCTGGAGGAGACTTTGAGCGGCCGGCTTCTCTGATCAGCAGTTGTCCGTGGTTGTTCCGATTACTGTTAACACGTTTGTGCCGGCGCAGAATATAGACAATTCATTTCTCGCCCAGCTGTGCGCTCCAAGTGTGAGCTAGTAATTTCCCGTTTGGGCGCTCCATTGTTTTTGCAATGGATTGCGGGGGCGAGAAGATAAGTTTCGCGCAATCCACTTAAAAAAAGATTTTCTCTCTGGTTGCGCCAAATCATATAGCTTGTCGCCGGCTCGCCAGGTTGCAGATAACCTAGGAAAGTGACCTGCATTCCCCTGCCAAGCCCGGCCCTTAGAGGTGGGGAGGGTGGCAAGACCCGCCGGCCGCACACCGCCCCCTGAGCCGGTGGCCCGGTGGGCAGCGGAGAAGCGTTTTGGGAGCGACGCGGGCTGAGCCGGCCGGTTGTCATTGGGTCGTGGCGGGGCGTGGCGGGGCGGGGCGAGGGCCGCTCACCTGGCGATGATCTGCTGGTGGAAGTAGTAGAAGAGCTCCCCGCGCCGGTCCTTGCGCACCACGCCCATGGCGTTGCTGAACGGGTAGACGAGGTGCCAGTGGAAGTGGCACAGGTTGACGCCGATGTCCTCGCGGAAGTACGCCACGCGGTGCTCGGGCTCCAGGTCGGTGCCGGTGAAGTCGCGCGGGATGACCAGCGGCTCCTGCGGCAGTTCCAAGCTCCCAACTCTCAAACGGAAAATATTCCGCGATTCCCTTGGCTCGCCCCTAAACTCAAATAATTCATCGTCCTTCGATCGAGCTGCTCCGTGCCCTATGTTTTTTCTGTAAGCCTTCCGTTTATTTTTCTCTTTTTGATAGATACAAACGAAGGAGAATAACTTTTGTTTATTTTTGTTCATAATAATTGACAGAATAATATATTTATCTCGACTGCGGATAAAAATAATTTCTCCCTCCAAAAAATCTGCAAAATTTCCTGGCCATTTATGTTTCCCATTATTTCCCCACAACGAAAAATAATTCTCATTTTGGAGACAAAATTCCCCAGTCTGGCAACTCTATGTCGTGTCGTTTAGTCCCGTGAGCACGGGGCGGTGTTGGAACGTGAAATTGGCCGTCGACCCACACGTCATCTCCTTCCTCTCCCTCAGCGGGGTCTCAGCTCCAAGCACGCGGCCAGTCTCCCTATGCGGGCGGTAGTGAGTCACATCAACTGTCTTCGTGTGTGCAACAGGAGAGGTGGGAACAAGGAAACACCGCGCAGTGTCCGTGGCTCGTCTGTTGAGTTACTGCTGCGGAATTCACGTCGGGTGGCATAAGGAAACACGGGCGTACCGATCAGAGCCTACAATTACCCTCCAGACAGGGACTCAATGCGGCCCTGATAGGTAGATCATGACGGTAGCAGATTTTTCGATACTACCTAGACAGGGAGAGTTCAGCCGCTGTGAGGGGAAAGTGTAGCAGGACCGGCTGCTCTGATCGGTAGTTTCCAAGTCTCCGACGAATACCGAGCAAATGCCGGAGTAATATCCAAACAGGTCACGGATCGCGCGCAATGTTTCCTCCCTGTTGCGTGTTCTGCCCCTCTTCTTACTCTCACACATTTTTACATGCACTGCAGTGCGACATGTATCGAGACACCAGTCTGGAGCACAGGGCTGGGCCCGGTTTGGACGGTGCCCCGCTGGAAGCAGATACCTGGAGAACCAAACCTTCTGAGGCTACTTTTAAGTTGTTTTTCACGATTTCCCTAGCGAAATAAACACCGCCCCTTGTGGGGATAAAAACATTCACTTGCACCAGGCGATCCACACGATCGGTTGTTGAGCGCTCTTTATTTTTGTTAAATTTTAACAATATAGTCTATATAAAATATGTAGTATATTGTATTTAATTTATGTACTGAGATATAATACATTATTGTTTTTAATAATTACGTAATTCGAACACAAAATAATACTTAAACATTTTTACCAAAACCAGAGAGAGTAAAGGCAAACCGTGCCGCCTGTGCGCTGCACTAGTGAGAGTAACGAGCGGGCCATGAGCGCGGGGCGCGCCCGGAAGCGCCGGCGCGTGACTCGTACCCGGTCGTCGGCGCTGACGAGGTTCGCCTCGCGTCGCACCTCCGAGAAGACGCCTCCGTCGAAGTACTTCTCCGGGAAGCGGCCGGCGAACTGCGGCAGCGGGGCGGCCTGCGTGTCGTTGCGGTGCAGCATGGCCACGCTCAGGGCGTAGGCGAACAGGTACGGGTTGAGGCGCTCGCGGCAGAAGGCGCTCGCGGACAGGAAGTCCTCCACGGTCGGCATATCTGCACCGACAGAAGCCCTTGAAGCCGCGCAGGTCAGAGAACTGGCGCGGGATTTAAAAGTAAGGCTTGTGCAAATGGCGCATATGCGAACAGGTGCGGGTCGAGGCGCTCGCGGACAGGAAGTCACCGCCTCACGCCGCTTCAGCTTCCGGCTGCACGTGTGGGTGACGTTGGCAGGCCTGCTCCAGTCGCACGGCCCTTACCAGTGGCGGAACTCCCCGTCGTGCGGGCGATTTCGGCTAGATTGAAACAAATTTTCGGTGTGAGGGACCCAAGGAACGCGGATGGAGGAAGTACATTAGAACACATCGGTACAAGAATTCTACTCTTTCTCAGAGGCAAAAACAAAATGGCTGTTTTCTGCCGCAGCCTCATCCTCCAGCGAGGAAGGTTCATCGCTCTGCTCTCGAGATAATACATTCACTACTTTAATGGGACTAGTGAGCAGAGCAGTTGGCATTCCTGAAATTAAGAAAGCGGGGGTGCTTCGGAGGAAAACCACACGTATATCACGGCTATCCAAGTGGCGGCCTGTGGCGCCATATTGTGCCTCGAAAGGTTATTAGTCGAAAGGGAAGGCCCTTGCAGGCCAGAAGATTTGGATGGTGCGCCCTGATTCGTGCAGCCAAACTGACGAGGCCAACAATATGGGGAAGTCAGGAGTAGATCCCCCAAGTAACGTAAGTATGGGCCGCAACCATATTAAAGATTTACGTTGTGGTCCTTGAGGTATTGCATGTTGGATACACCTAACCTACATGATTCACACATGTTAAGAGGACCCTATTCTTTGTCAAAGTGAATTACTTCCCTATGTAACTTTATTTCTTTCTGGTGACATTTTGAATATGTCGTATGTTTTCCAACAACGGTAGAAATTACTGCAAACTGGTTTTCAGCTCTCCTGCAATAGAAGCATAAAAGCGATTCCCGGAGTCGCTGTTTAAGATGCGCGCCTCGGAGCGGCGAGTGCAGCGGTTGCGAGAGCGCGGAGGGCCCGCCGCTTAACGGGGGCGCAAAGAGCGTTTCCGCCGGCTGCGCGGGCGCGCGGCGCTCCTCCCCCCGGGCGCAGGCCGACTGCCTGTGTGGCCATTCGTCTCTCAAGTGTAGTGCATGTTTTCCCTCGTGCGGTAGAGGTCGCCTTCCCCCGCTGGAGGCGCCGACCTACAGTCGGCCTATGGCGTTTTCCTCAACCAGGTATCTCCCACCGCGCAGCACCGCCCCAGCCGGGACAAGCTCTAAGCTCCCGGCCGGCTTGTGTGGTGGTGTAGTGAATGTTAGTTTAAGTCTGTGTAAGGAGGGGGTGAGGATAGGACAAGGAAAAGGAAGGAAAGATCGCGCGTGGTCCGTGGCCCGTTTGTTCGGGTACTGCTCTGGCATTCGCCTGGTGTTGATCGAAGACACTACGGATACTACCGGTCTGAACAGACGACCGCGAGAATTGTCCTTCAGACAGCGATTAAATTCGATCTAGCTCACAAGCTAGGGTGAAAAATTATGCCATTGTTGTGACTCGTGCCTAGGGCCTCCCGGAAAAAGGCACTGCAGTAACATCAGTTGATGACTTGAGCCACCTCTCCCGGTACTTCGACTTTATCATAGGTGCACGAGTGCTTTGGAAATTGTCGATACATTCCCGACTCCCGAAGAGAGGATCTATCTCACAATTTTCAAAGCCGAGTGGTATTTAATAGAACTATTCCACGAATGAAATTACGTCCAACAGAGTCCCGAAATGCACCAAATATTCAAAATAACTAAAAATAACTAGCATGTTAAAATAAAAGAAATGTTATAGTACATACGCGGTTTATTGCTTTAACACAGCGATTGATACATTCTGTTTCCTAACATAGATGAGTCGCAGAGTATGATTAGCCACTAGAGAGGAGCCGTAAGAAAAATCGCCTTAGATAACGCGATAAACTGTTTGAGATACACCGCCCTCATTGGGGCATTGTAAGTGTATTGTTGAAACTATTGGTTTTAATTTCACGAGTGGAATAGTCCACATAACGTTCTAAAGATAGCTAACAACAACGTGGAAATATTTGTTTCGTGATATAGCCGGGCTTATAAAAACATCATAAGTATTGAAGTTTTGAGGTTATTTTTCAGTTGATGTTAAGATACAGCAAAAATGGGTAAATTTCTGGTAGTATTTACTAGAAAAGTTTTAATTGAATTTTATTTTATTATATTAATGTAAAATAATATAGCTTGTAGATAATAATTTTAACGATGTACGTTGTTAAACTTGTTATTTATTAATATTGATAAAATGAAATAACTGCGATCTAAAAGAATATAAAGGTGTTTACTTTGCTACAAATTGCCTGAGCCGATACGTGGGCCAATCCATTTTAAGTGGTCTTGGAACAATTGATTTTAAGTGGTCCAGAATTTAATAAAATGGTCTTTCGACCATCTCAAAAAAATCATATCTGATACATAAATTTCATTGTTTTGGCTGTTCAAAAACATTTTTAACTTTTTAAGTTGTACCTGGTTTACAAATGGCGGCCATTTTTGTTTCACGACGTGCGCCATTTTTCGAGTTTGTACACACTCTTTCCTAAATTACTCAGCTCTGGACTTTTCTAACATTCTGGAATAAAAAGTATTGGATTCAGTATTTTCTGGCCTACAAATCGAAATATTATTTACATACCTTCCATGGTTTTATTTTGGAAATATTTGCAACGAAACAGGAATGAACAAAATTCGATTTTCAGAGAGTAATTTCTCAAAGTAAGAATAAAATCACAGCCTTGATTTTTTCTGTGCTTTTACACATAACAGAATAGTTATTTTTTGTAAAATATCATTGGTAAATAACGTGCCACTTAAAAATGACATCTTCTTAAAAATTGAAATTTTGGATTTTTTACAAATTTTTAATTGTAATGTCTCTGTTGGGAGACCAGTCAAAAATCTGAAAATTTCAGACACATCAACTTTTAGAAAATATGAATATTTTTGTGTAGTATTACGAGAAACAAGCAAATTTTAAATTTTAAACATTGATTTTCTAAAAAACAGCTCCATTTTTTAAAAATATTGTCCTCGTATGTAGAAAATAACATGAAATAAAGTGGTGTTGGACCCATTTTCGGCAAACTCTATATTTTTAAAAATTGTAAACAACAACAAAAATTAACGTTGGATATGTATAATATTGTGGATGGGTATTTTATTAAATATGTTCTAAAATTGAGGTCTTCAAAAATAATAATTTGCAATATTTAGAAAACACGAGTAAGGGTAAGTTTGCGAATTTTACAAATTTCTAATTCGATCTACCACACTTCATTTGCTAGAATCTTTCAGGAGTTATCCCTTTGAAATGCTACAATGGAACTCCGCGACGCTCCAGTTTCAAATTCTCATTTTTGTCTCTTGTTTCTGGGTGTATGAAACGAAGGTTTACAGTGTCGATTTTGTATTGATGTATTGGTTTTAAAGAAAATAATTTTTTGCCTCTAAAGGGCTACGATTGATCATGAGTTTTAGAAGTGATGGTTGAGATGTGTATATATGGACAGAAAGTTTTCACGTTACCGTTACTGACGCGAGAAATTACGTACTATTGTAATCATGACTGATTGCTTGATTGTTAGTGGTTCCGTGCACGTCAACTACTAGGGCCATTATCCCCGTGAGTGTATTGCATTTTTGCGCGGGAGGTGGCGGCGGGAATGGCGGGAGGCCTGCCGTCGACTAGCGGGGGTTTCCCTAATCAGGTATCTCCTACAAGCAGGGCACCGCCCAAGCCGGGAGAAGCTCTACGCTCTACGCGGCATGTGTGGTGGTATAGTGCGTGTTAGTGTAATCGCGAGTGGTTTTGGGCCCCTTTTGTGAGGGTACTGCTCTGGCATTCGCGTGGTGTTAATCGGAGAAAACACGGAAAATCAGAGCAGCCAAACGCCAGAATTCTCCTCCAGCCAGCGACTGAATCCCGCCTAGTTGACAAGCTAGTGTGGAAACTTCTCCCCCTCCCAGCCCTAACCCATCTATCCCGGTACGTGATTTTATAGCATTGGTAGTTTTAACGTGTAATCATTTCTTTGTTTCTTGCAACCTAAAAATTGTTTTTGCGCGTATATCCGACTGCCTATGATCTCGATATGGAGATCGATATACACTGCCTAACTTACCTGTATCAATAGGATCGTGGTTACTAGGAAGATATGAAAACAGTTGACTGTTGCTTCATGGCCTCTTACGGAGCGAATTACGAAAGGGAATTATGGGAGGGAAATATGAAAAGACAAACCGAGTTAAGTTAACATTTAGTTAATTAGTAAATAAGTAAATCCGAATAAATAAAATTAGGTAAAAAATAAAATCATATATGTACCACGGGTGTTAACTGGTTCTAATGATTTCTACTCTGATGTTCTAATGATTAAAAAACCTTTTTTCGCCGTTCGATCATTAGAATCTTTATATCAGCCTTGGTGCATAAATAAGTATTACGTAATCACTACAGGGTTAAATAGTGGATATTATCGTATTTGCAAGAGCTGAAACTGTGCAAATGCAACAATGCGGCCCGGATGGCTGGGATGTCTAAGGCAGTAGTGCCGTAGCTACCTGGGACCGAAGGATCGCGGGTTCGAGTCCCGCCTCGGGTATGGTTTTGTGTTTGTCCTTTCACCCCTTATCATCATCAACATCATCATATCGTCTCTTCCTCCAGTTACTATACTTTACAAACGCAATAGTGGTCGGTAAAGACCTAGAAGTTGATGCAACCTTAAATAAAAAGAAGAAAGCGTCTTGTACCGAGCATTATTTCAAAAGCATAAACTGGTAGACTACTTTGGATAAAACAAAAAAGGCATTTTTATAATGAAACACTAAATTAGTGGATTTGATGTGTGATATGCAGCTACAAAATAAACTTTAAAGTGGTTTGTAGATACATCTAAACGTCTTGGCTCTCACAGCAGACGCTTGCTCGGTCCTGTCCACACGTGGCTTTGAGAAGCGTCCACAGAAGCATTGTTGTCATGTGACTTAGTATGATCGCAGTCGTCCCATTAGATCCTACTTCTCAAACATTGAAATGCTTATAATACTAGAGTTTGAATTCATTTTTATAAGTATTACATACATCAAAAAGAAATTGCACAAAGGCTACGTGTAGTGGACGACGCGGTTGGACATGGTATACCGGAAAACGGGCCGCTGCCACGCCGGTCACCGGATGAGGCGCCTGAGTGGTCTGAGAAGCGCTGAGTCGTGGCAGCGTGACGTGAGGGCGCGCACGCGCCCAGGCCAACGCACGGAGCAAGACGGGCACGAGCCGCTGGGCATCGGCGCACGGTCGTAGGGAATGCCAAACATGTGAAAGTGCTGCGCGCCGGCCCAGCTCATGGGCAGCCGAGCATCGGAGCAGGCGACGGGGACGCAACGTTGACCGTGCAAGGGGCCGCCTCGGCGCGCGGCGCTCGCCCTGCGAGCCGCTGCCGGACGCCTGGGCGGCGCGACGCTGGCGCGTGGCGCCGTCTGGCCGAAGCGGTCCGTGATCTCCGACGCCTTGCTCTGGTAGCGCTCCGACTGCAACACGCCCATCGCCATTTGCCATTCATGCGCTCCTGGTGATTGCGTCAGCTGCTAAGGCCATTACTCCCGCAAGTGAAGTGTATGTTTTTCCCTCGTGAGGTGGTCTACCTCCGCTGGATGGCGAGATCCAGCGCCGACCTGCAGTCGGCTAGCGGGGTTTCTCCCACCGCCCCACCCGGGCAAGCTCTAAGCTCCCAACGGATCTCCTGCGTGTGCGGTAGGGGAGTGCATTTTAGTGTGTGTGTGTGTGTGTGTGTGTGTGTGTGTAAGTAAAGGTAAGAACACGACGAGAAAGAAAATGGAAAGATCTGTGGCTCGTTTCTTACGGTACTGCACCGGCATTCGTCTGGTATTGATCCGAGAAATCACGGAAAACGACCGATCAGAGCAGCCGGCAACTAGCATTTGCCTGCAGACGGCGACTGAATTCGATCTAGCTGTCTAGCTAGTGTCGAAAATCGTTCCAGCTTGGGAAGAGGTAGCCCTAGGACCTCCAGGTCAGAGGCACCGCAGTGACATTAACTGATGCCCTGAGCCACCTCTCTGGAGGATATTCTCCGCCAGCCTGCTAAAAGGCGCCTAACGAGAATAATGGCCATAGCAGTTGTCGCTCCCGAAAACATAAATCATTGATCCATCCACACAGCATGGCGAGGCTTCCGGTGATCATTACACGCCCAAACGCAATTTAAAAGATTATGCATTATCTATATTTTAGAGATACTTGTATATGAGTAAAATAATCGAATGTTTTAGGGGCAATAGTATAAACACAACTGGGAAATAGCCGTCAAACAACCAGGTCCAGACGTCAACTCCGAGGGCGACAATCGTCAACAGCCGATAAGATAACGACATTTAACCGGACATTTAACTCTCTCTTGCTGACCATGAGGCATCGGAAAAATAAGAACAACTTCTCTTGTTTTGACTTCCTCTCTTTAATGCCCTGTGCCGCATTTTATTGACGTCATATACGAGAAAAAATTAACATGCCAAATCAGTGTTCTGTTTTACACTCAATTTCTCACATTACTAGTAAATCTAAAATATAAACATTAATATTTAATTGTTTAATTTTTATGCTCATCCGATTGCGATAACACTTGGTCAACTTTTTGCTTGCACTTGCACGAAGGATACAGGCATTGAACAACGGGAATGTCTGTCGCACACACACGCAAAATGAGGCGTTACTGATTATGATTTGAGTTTATGACTCAAGCGCCCCCGAATAGAAGCTCTACACAACCGCCGCAGACTCAAGTATTAATCGCATCTTCACTGCAAATTTCGCCAATTCAGTTGTGAAATATCCGCCGGAATAATTAGTTAACCTTATCTCGGACAAGTAAATCAAATTTCAACAACACTGTCATAACGAAAGCATGCCCAAACTTGAGGGAACATGTTTAACCATAGTGTTCTAGATAACCATGAACAAAACAGGACTTAAAACAAACCGATGTTCGGGAGGAACTCTTTCATCTTGTAAAACTTGTGCAGAGCATAGCGGAAAACGTGAATAAGAATCACGTGACCAGTAGCAAGGGAAGTGTAATGCTTTGCAATAGCGAAGCATTGCCGCGTCCAGAAGTAACTTACAATATTGAGTTTCTCTGGTAAATGGACATAAAACCACATTTTAATTTAATCTAAATATTAGTTGATTTAAAAAGAGGAACACGATTGTACAATGCACGTACTACATTATAAATATATTTATGAAGATATCTCGTGAAAATGTGTATTTAATGGAAATTTTGTCCTGGGTCCCCTTCATTGTGTTCTTTCTGAGTTGACAAGCGCACCCTCATATCACCTTCCAAAGTGTTAAGTTGAAATCGATTTTTCGATATTCGTATTACAGACGTGCTCAAAAGGATGCGATATCTACATTCATGTGGGGTTTTCCCTACGTTTAGACAACCTTTTTCAACTATCTTCAACTTGAACTAGATCTTCAACTACTTTAGACACTTTAGCGACTCGACCCGACCAACACAGTGGTCCACCTACAGAGGCGTCACAGCACAAGAGCATGGAGGCATGGTGTAGAGATTTTGTAATATTGCATCCCAATCACCTGGATAAAAGGCGAGCAGACCATTTGCTCTTTTACGGGCGTTTGCAGGTTGTAAAGTGCGGAGCTTCGAGCGAAAGTCAACTTCTCGGGAGCCGGACCACCTGCAGCTCTGCGAACCAAACTGTCGAGAATGACGTTGAGGTCAGTAACTCGGAATCTGTCTGTCGGAGAGTTCGATCTCGTTTTCCTTTATTTCCGGATTGTACCTTTCGCCTCCGTTTCCTTTTCATATCGTATGCGTAGTTCTGTCCAGCACTTCCTGATTACCAAAGATCGATATAGTACAGCTATTGTACTCTGTACAATGTTTAAAGATCGAAGAGATTTGCTTACTTAGTTGAGTCTATCCTGGATATCATTCCACTGAGAGTCAATACTCTTCTTAAGAGTCAAGTTAATCCAAAAGACCTGGAGTCTCGGAACGAGTAGCTGGGTTATCATTGGCTCTTCCAAGAAGCGCCTCTTAATCTTATTCCAGAAGCAACAAAGACATTGAGAGGCCCACTCCAAGCAGACCATCTTTCCAAAATTCCTTTCTTGATTTGTCCATTTCGTTGTATATTAAATGCGTTATTGTTACTTTTCCCCAAAGCTGTCTCACACACACGAATCCATTGTTGATTTGGTTTTCGGGCGCGTCAAGTAGTAGAGTCATTAGTCCCGTAAGCCGAGTGTCTATTATATTCCGGGTGATGTTCCCTCCGCCAGAACGTGAAATGCAGCGCCGATCTACATGTCGGATTTCCCCTCCCACGTATCTCTGCCGGCGGAGCAACGTCCGAGCCGGGGCAAGCTCCACACTGCTGACTCGTCTCCCGATGTAAATGCGAGTAAGAGTGCTTTACATGTGGGGGGGGTGAGTGTGTGGAGTGGAATAAACAACGAAAAACTACCGAAAATGACCAAGCTATTTAGTTAGAGTCGAACATCCGTCTGGTCTCGAACCTTTGAACCTTCTTGTCAGAGACTTCACTGGGAATAGTTGTTGCCCTGAGCGATCTCAGCCGTTCATGGGAATCATTATTTCCTAAATAGTAGTCTTCATTCTTCATTGCGTTTCCAATCGGTAGTTTTGCGAAAGAAAGGAATCTGGAAGCCTGTGAAATTGACACGCCAAATCAGTATTGAACATTAAATGTATAATATCCCTACATTCGTATTACTTAAAAAAATAATAAAAAATCTGATGTTCTGGTACTGTTGGTGGTATTATGAACGACACTCATGAAAGTGGATTAGCTTCCTCTCTCACGGAAAGCGTAGGAATGGGCGCGTGACCTATTTTAAAAGATCGATATAATAGCTGAATGGGTTATGATAATACAATGAAACTTACGAAATGAATAAAAGATAAAAAAGGATGTGTAATATGTGAAAACTATGTGTGTAATATGTGTTCGTTTTCTTTGATTTTGTAATTTAGCTCCATCTGCCACTGAACGCCTCAAATGAGTAACACTTGTAAAGTTCGGAAGAAAGATACAACAGTCATAACACTTGTCCGCACATGATCCGACAAAATGATTTAGTTAGTTGATCAGGGGACAAAAACTGTACACTGGTCTGACAGTCGCCTGTTTTTCATTGGAGAAACCATGGAAATTACGGCAAAGAGAAGCTGGCCGCGAGAATTCTCCCTCAGAGTGCGACCGAATTCGATCTAGCTGACAAGCTTGGGTCGAAAATCCTGACACCGTCGGGCCTCGGACTTGGAACCTCCCGGTCATGGCACTGCACTAATATGTGTTGACGCCCTAGGCCACCTCTCCCCACATCAGCTCATCTCATGCAAGCTGTAGCTGAGCATGCAGATGTGCTTACCACGTACTCCGGTGGAATCCGAAAGTGCACCTCCCCGTTGTCCCCCTTGGGGTAGAAGACCGGCTCGCCCGGCCGGTCCAGCAGCAGCTGCAGGCTGTCCAGCGCGCTCATGGACTGCTGCTGCTGCTGCTGCAAAGCAATTAAATAAAACATTAAATATAACAATGTATTGTTTTAAATATACATATTTAAAACAACCTTTTTGGCTGCAATAAATTGTTCATAAGAGGGCATTATACGGTACAAATGATGACGTATTAGCATTTTAAGGCACGAATGATAGCGTCATCACACGTTCAGCCAATCGCAGAGAGACAATGGTGGGAAGGTAGACGTAAACGGATGAGCCAACCACCGTTTTCTCGCACAGATGTCAGATACCCGAGATGTCACCAGAAAGTTCTTTCGTACAATTACGTTTGATTCTCTTATAAATTTATAATGCTGATATACAAAAATACTTGCGTCGTTACAGTGCTGTTTTGTGGCATTCGTACAAATTTGAAAACTCGGTCCCTTAACGTCGCTAGTTTTCAAAACATTTACTCATGCAATCTATCTTAACATTATACACTAATTTCATAAACTACTAGTAATAAATTAAATATTCATTATTTAAGCAATAAAAAATTGATATCTTCACGAGTGAAAAGCTTCAGCACTCATCAAGTGGAGGCTAGAAACAAAAGGTGCTAATTTTCTTTAAAAGAATAAAATTTATTCCCGCAATTTCATCAAAAACTCTCACTTTTCATCACTGACATTCAATATCTGGATATTTTATTTAAACTTAGTAGTTCTTAATCCTCAACTACTCAGAAAATGAAAATATTTGAATAAAATATCCAGATATTGAATGTCACTGGTCAAAAGGGATGAAATTTTTGATTGCGCCAACATTGGCAATGACAACGCATATAATTATTTGAACGGTTTAGCCGGTAGCATTGTTCACAGACGGACGGACAGACGTTTTGCCGTCATTCGAGTTTTCGGTATCCACGACCCACAAAACATGGATTCTGGCTGCACGACGTGCTAGAAGATTCTTTTTCTAAATTACTCAACCCTAGATTGCCCTCTTTTTCGTTACTGGGGCCCTGTAATAAGAGTTCTTTCTGACGAAAATTTGCAGTTGTTTTTCCAGCATTAGATAACTTTCTTTCTACTCCGTAGCTAGGAAGTAAAAACGAATAAGATGTATACCCTCCAAGGTCTCCAGTGTACCGCCAAAATCAATAAGACCATCCATCATTGCTCCTACTTGTAGAAGAGAATGAGCTCAAAGTATTACAAAGACGATCGGATATGATAAAATGTATATCACACCTACTGAAAGACCATTATGTACAAGTTAGTTAAGTATACCCTCACGCTGACACGCTCGTGAATAAGTAACTATCTTGTACATAATGGTATATTTCAGTCACTTATAAAATAAAATTCTATTATTATGGAGCATACATTTTTTAATGAATTAATGAATTCAGGCTTAGATTTCAGGGCGGTGGCGTGGATTAGCGAGTTTCTGCGAGACAGAAAACAGAAAGTCCGAATTGGCCAAGAGTTTTCTACCTGGGCAAGCGTTACGTCAGGACTACCGCAGGAGAGTGTCATTGGATCTCTTCAATTTCTAGCGTTCGTCAATGATCTGCCAGCGCAATTAATTTCAAATGTTCGGCTATTTGCAGGAGATTGCATAATATATCGTAGTGTGAATTCAAAAGAATACGAATAAATGTTGCAACGGGATCGTGATGCGTTACATTGCTGGGCGGAAAATAATGAAATGACCACAAATAGCTCCAAAAGCAAATCCATCACTTTTCGCAAGGGACATAATTACAGAGAAACGAATTATCGTTTAAATAAAGACATAAATCCGATAGTTTCCTCATGCAAGTACCTAGGAATCCATTTCGATAGTAAATTAAGATGGAAAATTCACGTAGATTTTGTTATAAGGAAAGCCTGGAGATATCTCCACTTTGTAATGCGCACCTTAAAAAAGAGTACGGCAAACACGAAGGAAATTGCCTATTTATCGCTTGTTAGACCGATAATGGAACAATTTGTTGGGATCCGCACACAATTTTGCAGGGTAAACATTTGGAAAGAATTCAGCGTAGGGCAGCTAAATTTACTTTCAGGGACAAGAAATTGATAAAATGGGATTCTCTCGAAAATAGGCGATCAGAAGCAAGGCTATGCGCTTTGTATAAAGCTTATAGCTGTCAACCAGCTTAGAAAGAAATTAAGCGGCGGCTAAGTATTCCTACATACATCAGTAGGGGGGATCACAGGCACAAAATAAATTTAAAATCGCAGGGAACAGATGTGGGGAAATTTTCTTTTACAAATCAAACAATAAAAAATGAATATTGCTGCAAAAACTTTGAACTTTTCTTCGGTAGCGGACACCATTTAGGAAGTAATCTTAGGGTATCCAACTATATAAATAGAGAATGCTGACAATAGTAGGTTAACGAGGCGATGCGTCGTTATCTATTGTGAAGTAAGCGTGTCGTGGAAGTGTAGCCAGAGAAAAATGTAAGAATGATAAAGGTCAAAGTGAAAAGTGTAAGTTGAAGTGCAGTGAAGTGTAAGTGAAGTGGCAGTTGAACAAAGATTCAGCTGCGGGTGTGGATTGTGTGTGTCTGTGTGCTTTTTTGAAGCGTAAGAGACAGTATTATATCATTATTATTTTTTATTGGTACGGTATCTTTTTTGTTACGATATTATTTTTCAATTATACTTATTATCCATATTATTATATATATCTATATTATATTAATTATTATTATATTATATTATATTATTATTATATAAATTTGCATGTTAGCTTTAAGTATTATTATGTAATTAGCTGGCCACCGGGTTATGCTCATTTGCAGTTCAAATAAATTTATCTTATCTTAATATATTATTACGGAGTATAATATATAATATGTTGTATAATACCCCATAAATTGGTACAAGGAAGTTACATATGATGAAATTACACGTCTCCGAATTTACTGATACTGGACCATTATGTTTAATTATCACCATGTACTAGTATTAATAAATTTATAATTAAATTTGGTAATGAGGAAATAAGAACACAAATAAAAGATGCAATGCTAACTGCTCATCATCTGAAATGGAAGTGGAGAGGCCAGAGGCGACATCTCAAGATTCCAAATTGACACATGGCCATCTAGATATACTTTCTGGGACCCACGATTAGGGAAGAGGAACTACATCGTAGATGGACAGATGACTTTCGGGAACTTCTAGGTAATCAATGGTCAAGAGTTACAGAATGGAAAAAAATTGATAAATTCACTAAAAAGAGTGTAAGTGCACTTGTAAAGACAACAATAATGGAAAATTGATACAAAAATGAGATACGTCACAAGTGAATAAAAGTGGTACCAAGAAAATTATAACAAATTATCAATATTTAATTATTTATGTGAAGTAGAATAGTGAGAAACATGTTTAACAGTTGTTTTCTATAAATTCATTAGTTTAATGAGTTATCCATGTAGGTTCCCGAGGAGGTTGCTCGAAGACCAACTTCTAATGTAAGCCTCTTGAAGCCCTGTGCAAGAGGCCCTTGCCCTAATAGGGATTAAACGAGCTAATAATGATAATAAAAAAACTAGTATTACGTCTATTGAAAGCACTAACGCTTCATTCACTCTATGCAGTCGCCCTCCTGTCAATCTGTCAGATTCTCTGTTCACATGTTGCATCCTAAACTTTAAAAATATTTTTCGACAAAATACCATCAACATGTTGTTGGGACATTTCCAATCCTCTTCTTTACGACCTCTTCTAATTCATGTCTTATTCTAACAGCACTTCCCTTTATTGTTCTACGTTTCTTCCCATTTCAATTTCACCTCTTTTAAAATTTAAACATGTTCATTAAAAATTACAAACACGTTCGGCCCTAAGTAGCCATTCTGATTGAGATATTTCTACAATTACTCAATCGCTTAATGCGTGTGCTGCTAGCCTTGCATCTCAGAAGTAAGTGTAAAATATTCTCTCATTTTTTGTGAATTGTTCACAATTGAAAATTTGAATCTAAGTGGTGATAACTGACATTTACGAAATTAAGATGATTTATTTTTGCTTCTTATGATCGGAAAATTACTCTTTATAAACCAAGGGGATTCGTGAATGCATATCAATCAAGGTTAAATATGAGTTTTCTTCTGACCCACTGTGAACATTTCAAGAAATTATGTACATAAATTATAGACAGTCAGCATATTTAAACCATGGAATAATTTGAATTATTTCATAATGATTTTTTTCTTTATAGTGACAAAGGGGTATAACGTACAGTTTAAGTATAAATTTTACGAAATATTATGAAATACCGAGTTCAATCTAACCGTAATTTAATAATTTGACGTTGATAATTTTCTCGCAGTATGTATTGAATTTAAATATTGATTTTAAAATATTTCATAATGTTTGTTTCACCTAAAGAAGTATATGCACTAAACTACGAAATGTAAAATGTGAAAACGTTTAAATGAGCGGTCAATGTTGTTACCCATTGTGGTAACGCCGAACAGATAACAGAAGGCAATATTGATGGCTGCTTTTCATTTGCGGTAATAAAAACGAATTTATTTACGTCAAAAGCAGTTAAAACTGTGTGTGACGTGTTATGGGGAGAAGTTAATTTGAAATTACATTTATGTCCAGAAGCAAAACAAGGGACCATCTCAGCATTTGCTCAAGGATCAGGGAAACTGGACGAAAACCTGATCGAGATGGGGGTCATTACTCCAGAAGCTGAATTACAATACTTTTTACAGGTTCTTTACAATTATACAATCCAAATGGTATATAATACATTAATTGTCATTGTTAAAATTAATATTATTTCTCTTTTGGATGCCTGGTATGGTCTTCAATTGTATAGAACTGTTGTGCAGCAGAAAAAAATTTACTTGAGACTTAAACTTTTGTATCGAATTTAATCGTTTAATGGTCTTATCTTTTGGCAAGATGTTGTAAAATAATGTACATGTATTATATGTGAATTTTTTGTAGTGAACTTTTGATACAGTCACCTGATGAATATGATTACTACGTCGAGTGTTGTAATACTTTTATACTTT